CCAGGTTAGTTGTTGAAGTTGTTGTGTTGTAGCAACAACGCTTTGATGAAGTGAGAATGAAAAGAAAAACCGTTCTGTCTTGTGGATGAGCCACCATCCATGCATAAATAGGGGCGAAGCTTTTTGTAATTCTGAGCCGCATACAGTGACAGAAACTAAGGGGAAACTAGGATATGCAGGCTTGTAAAATTCTGTAATAAGCCTCACTTGGGACACATATTCAAAGGGCAGATTCCGACAGAAACAAAGTAGTGAAAATCCAAAGCAGGAAATTGTGCTAGTCATGAACTGTGCCAAAGGATGTTTGATTCTTGCTTTGTTCCTCTTACAATGTTAATGCTAAAACAATCCAACGTATTTCTCATTGAGGGCTAGCTGAGTGCATAAAATTGTACTAGTTTCCTTCGGTAAATCACATGAAGATTGATTGATGGTAATGCGAATGTTATCCGTATAGTCACATTAACAAGACTCTCTAGGTCAAGACAATGCTCCAGGTATGGCGAAACACAGATGGATTGTACATGCACCTCTGCAACATATAGTGGATGACCCAACACAATGCAGGGCTGTAGCTAACATGGGGCGAGTGAGGCACTTGACTCAGGCGCAGCTGAGAGGGGGCGCATCCAGGGCTGGCCTGGCTGCACCCCCTCGCCCCTATTGTCATGGCGAACACAGGGCGCCATTGGCAAAAGAGGCACCAGGATGCCAACACAGCCCGGGCTCGGCAGCGAGAAGAGGAGCGGCACAGGCTCCAGCTTCTCCTTAGATCCCCACTGCTCCCGCCCACCTGAATGGGCAGAGGACTTTGTGTCCTCAATCTCTTTTTCTATTTCAAAAGGGAAATGTCAGGGGTGATATTTCCCCGAAGCCCCCGAAAGTAAAATACAATAATAATAATTAAAAAAAAATTAAAAATGAACCCCGTCCCCCCCACACACACTCATACACACATGTGCAAAGACTAAACATTTGTTTCGGATGAAATGAATGGAAACTAAAAATGTTTCATTAGATTTGTAAAACTAAATACATGTTTATGCTATTCTGGATTTGGCCACCAGCGCATTCTGCGCATGTGCGCCGCCATCCTGGAGGTGGGGCACATGATGTTGCATACATCTGTTGGGGGGGCACAATTTTCTGTTCTTGCCTCGGGCAAATAAGGAGCTAGCTACGGCCCTGACACAATGACAGGTGTTTTCCAATGACCCTAGGGTTACTTACTGTTGGCCCATGGAAAACCAAATGGGAAGAGGGAGCGGGTGGTTGTGATGTGGCTACATTAGCTTCATTAATTCCTAATGAGCATGGTGAAACGGAGCAAAACTTGTTTTTACATCTGGGAACCAAGTTAGCTTATAACTTATAACTCAACTAAAGTGGAAATTTTACTTGGTAATGTGTTTTTTTTCTAAACAATCTAAAGTTTTGTTAAATTATAGGAACAATAACAAAAAATAATAGTCCACAGCCTTCCTCATTCATAAATGATTGAAGAACAGGACTCCCAACCCAACACTGACAGCCCAGCCCTTCAGATTGCTCTGGAAGAGTGTCATTTTGACAGCTGGCCCTTCTGCTCTGTGTATCAGGAACTGTTATCAGTTCCTCTGATACAAAGCAGGGTCAGCTGTGATGCTGACAGTGGAGCTCCATAGGACAGGCCCTACAGAGATCAGAACATGGACAGGATGATTCAGATCCATGCTCTTCTCCTCTCACAGCAAAGTGCCTCTATTGCCTTTGCATCAGCCCAGTTCTGGTATCTGCAGATACTTTCAGAAGCTTAAAAAAGCCCTTAGATAAATGTGTTAATTTATGGGAATTGTCTCAAAAAATCTATCTGAGATGGTGTTTGACTCCCTACTGCATGGCTAAGATATCTCCCTCTAACTCCAACATGTGGTGGAGAGGGTGTGGCCAAATGGGCAATCTACTTCATATACTGTGGTCTTGCCCATATCTCTGCCATTATTGGACTTCAGTCTTCCAAGCTCTATCTTCCATATCGGGTAGCCCAGTTGTACCTATACCAGACTTGGCACTCCTAAATTTGGGTATTGAAAAAGTCCCCCCCCCGTGTTCGGGTAGTAGTGTCGCACGTGCTGTTGGCAGCACGGCTACACATAACACGGAGGTGGCGTTCTACAGATCTGACTACAATTCACCATGTAACTTCCTTGGTACACATCCACTACCAGTATGAAAAAGCGTTGTCACACCCTGGCGGAGTGATGGCCAAATTCACTAAGCAATGGGCGCCTTGGGTCACATGGTATTCATTTAATACAAGGACCTGAATCCACTACACTGTCCCTTATTGTTGCCCCAAACAGAATACAAATCTGCTCCTTTAGAGGGATACATTAGCCATAATGAAATTGACTCGTGCATAGGGGCGAGTTGAGGGGGACAGTCACATCTCATATATATTATCTGTTTGACTTTCATACAAAGAATGATTTATTCACAGGCTGATTTGATCGCATACGTGTTGACATATTTGTGTACTGTATGTTGCCGCTATTTCCTTTTGTACTTTGTAAAATTAAATACAAATCTAAATTTAAAAAAAAAAAGCCCATAGATATTGCTGAATGTTGGGTGGTTATGACTAGCAAGGCTATGGTATGTCCTCTTAGTGTCAGAATTTGCTCGTACCTTCCTGCCTCTTGCACATGCCTATTGGCCAGTGAGGCAACCCGTCATAGTAAGGGATGCACCAATACCGATACTAGTATCGGTGCCGTTACAGAGTATTTGGGCACATACTCGCCCAAATACTCTGATACCTTCCCTGCGACCAGAACTTCTGGTCAGAGGGAGATTTCCTCTGACCGGTAGTGCCGCGAGGGAACATGGAGCAAAAGAGGTTGAGGAACGCTGGTCTTTACTATAATTGTCACCATCAAATACCTCTTACTAAAATAGCCCCAGGTTCGCTTTAAGGACTAGTGAAGTTTCAAGGTATTGAAAATTGTTCCGCTCTATCTAGTTTTAAGGAAACCTTATGGTTTGATGGGAAGAGTTAGTTGAATTTTGTACCATTCATTTTTTGCAAAATAGAAAAAGTGGAGTTAAATTGATACCATTTATTTCCTCTCAATACACGTAGAAAACAATCTTTAGAAATAGAGTGCAATTTGTTTCCTGGGTACAAAGAAAGAGAGACGAGTATTTATGTAACACTGGAATCGAATCAGCCGCATGTACTGTACGAGCAATAATGGCATCCTGATATGAAGGGGTTGATTCCGTAATGGAGTAGAGAATGTTCTTGAATAAAGTAAAGCTATATGAACTTTAAGTACCCATTCATGTGCGGGGGGAATTTAGGGCCCATTCACACCACATCCAGATTACCTCCAGACCAGACCAGATTGTTTCCGGACCCAAACTGCATCCTAATGTATCACTATGCTATTTCTGGGCTCTGTTCACACAAGTGCAGTCCAGACCAGAGCAGACCAGAAAAAGACTACACCGTCTCATTTTGTCTGGTCTGGAACGCGCATGAACGCGTCAAAAACGCACCGGAATGCACTGGAACATAATGGAACGCAACTAATGACTGGACGTAATTAAAATGCTATGATAGTTTTACTATATACTGTATATCATGGATTTCTGCAACTGGCAGTTTTGTGCAGAGTAGAGAGAGAGCAAAGTGTGGTCAGCGAGGGAAAAGCTGACCAGGACAGTAGTGTGGCCAGCAGGTGGGGGGTGAGAGGCAGCTGCCAGAGAACATAGTGTGGACAATGGAGGAAGAGTTCTGAAAGAACATGGTGTGCATAGTGGGGGGAGAGCTTTCAATGAACATAGTGTGGACAGTGGGGGAGAGAGCTTTCCGAGAACATAGTGTGGACAGTGGGGGAGAGAGCATTCAGAGAGCATAGTGTGGACAGTGGGGGAGGGAGCATTCAGAGAACATAGTGTGGACAGCGGGGGGAGAGGATTCAGAGAACATAGTGTGGACAGTGGGGGGAGAGCTGTCAGAGAACATAGTGATAGTTGCATACAAAGAAGTTATACATACTTTGTATATTCATATAAAGCAGGATCTGGTGTACAGGTATAGCATAAGTTGAAGAGGGTAAATGGTTAGGAAGAGGTATCTGACTGACTGGGCGGTCATTGGGGATATAAAGTAGTTGAGATGAAGAGGATATAAATTCCCAAACAAGGGTCACATCAATAGAGTGCAAAGAGAACCCCATGTGTGGTTCTTGCTCAAATATAGACAATAGATACGGGTATTATAGGTCGTGCATGTGTTGAAAGCATATACTCAAGTGAAGTACACTAGATTGTATAGAGAGAGCGCGAGGTGTGCAGGGTTTTTAGTGCTGTGGACACTTCTGAGGGAACAGTCTTTGGAGAGCAAGTGGGCAATGATGTTACCGAATGTGTCCAGCAGGGCATAGCCATTGCTGAGCGGACACTGTGTGCGTTGGGCGCTTGTCAATGTCGAAATTCAAGATTCAAGAGTGGTGATAGAGCTGCTTCTTTGCTACATTCCTTCATGGTACTAGAATACCCCAACAGTGAAAGTGAAGACTAGTCTCTTTACTGGATTGAGACTCACATGCTGTGGTCAGCTGGTCTGGGCTCTGCTCTATGTTCTATTCCCCTATTGGGAATGTGGGTCGAATCCCCACTGAAAACAAACGTTTCAACCCTTTTTAATAATATATAAGGATATGGGGTATTTTCTATGAGCCAATGAAAATCTTTTAGGTGTTGAAACCTACACCTCTGTAGTGACCCTCAAATGGTCACAAAGTTCCTCTGAACCACTAATGGGCCAACAGTACACAAAGGCAATGTGCTTTCATCGGCAGAGATACATTATGGGACATAATAAAAGGGTGAGTTCCCTCACATCATATTAATATATACAACCAGTATTCCATTTAATATTTAAAACATGAAACAGTACATTTGTGTTCTCTCTTGTTGCTTTACTTTTAATCATTTATCTACTAATTTGCCAGGTTTGCCAAACTAAAGTGATGAAATTGAGTAAAACAGTGTCCCAGTATGCTTGGTATCCATGCAAGGCCACGTCAGATACCACAAATTACTGGCTAAAGGTAAGTGACATTAATGAAACAGTTAACAGATTGAAGTATATATAACACTATATATAGATATACAGGTGAAACTCGAATAATTAGAATATCGTGCAAAAGTAATTGCAGTAAGTGCTGCAAAAGGGGCCCAAACCAAGTACTGAGTACATATGCATGCTTGTACTTTTCAGAGGTCCGACATTGTTCTATGCACAATCCTTGTTTTATTGATTGCATGTAATAATCTACTTTTTTGAGGTTGTGGATTTGGGGTTCTTGGGGTTTTCATGAGCTGTAAGCCAATTGTGTAAGGCTGCCCTAAATGCCTGTCTACATCAGACAGGCGTTTTACAGGCCAGCCTTACGCAGCGCCGGGGTCCTACCTCTGTGTTTGCAGAAGCAGGCGGTTCCTGTAGGTGCGTAAGGACCCAGGGATGCAATTATGACAAATCACGGCTTGAATTATCTTGCTTTGCATGTAATGAGTCTCTCTCATATATTAGTTTCACCTTTTAAGTTGCATTAGTGAAATAAATGAACTTTGCACGATATTCTAATTATTCGAGTTTCACCTGTATATACAAGCTTTCGAGAGTGAACCTCTATTCTTCAGGTTCACTCTCGAAAGCTTGTATTTTATATATATTGTTAGTCCAATAAGAAAGGTATCATTGCACACTGCAATACTGTGTTTTTGTTTTTTTTTGACGTCTTGTCTACTGGACTAATATGGCTTACCCATTTATATATACATATATATATACTGTATATATTGTGGATGTAGTAGGGATTGTGTAAAACCCATGTCAGTTTATGTTTTGCCACCTTTGACCCGTTGTGGAGATTCCCTTAGATTGTTGTCACCGAAGCTCCCATTGGAAGACTTCCCCTCTATTTTTGTTCTTTGTATTAATCATAGAAAAGTTGTATTTGTAGATGATTAATATCAATTGCTTCCAGACTTACCCACAAATAAACTCCTTCGGAAGCATGATACTTTGTCAACTGGGCAATCTGGCCTGCCTGATTTGTTATATGTGGGATAGCTAATCCATCTGCATTTCTGGGCGAGGGCAGGACCTGAATTACCATAAGGCAGAGTAGGCACGTGCCTACAGTACAGGCGTCCTCCATAGAGGGGTGCCGTGCAGGTGCCTACTCTGCCTAACTCCCAGTGTTGTGTCAAGATACAACACTGGCGATAGCAAGGATTCCCCACAATATGCACCCTTCTGCTCCACTACCAGCGGCACCTACAGGAACCGCCTGCTTCTGCAAACACAGAGGTAGGACCCCGGCGCTGCGTAAGGCTGGCCTGTAAAACGCCTGTCTGATGTAGACAGGCATTTAGGGCAGCCTTACACAATGCCGGGGTCCTTCTCTGCAAATGTGAAAGCCGGCGGGTCCCACAGCAGGTAAGGGTGCCAGCGCAAGCTAAACAGATTTCCATTTGTGCCTACAGGCGCCCGAAATGGAAAATCCGGCCCAGGGGAAGGGGGTTACATTGTGTCAATTAAAATTCTATGTTTATAGTTCAACCATATGAAGCAGTCCAAAAGGAGATTATGAATATATATCCTGACACTTTGATTGGTAATACTCTAAATAGATACAATATTGTAGGTATTAGTGTCTTCCTGAGTGCTGCTATATGCCCAAACCAAGAAGGTTCATATATTGTTGAGCATAAAGGCCAGAAATGCGTTGCCCTTTTTGTCACTTCCTGTAAGCAAAACTAAAACCACGAACAAGGTTATCTTTCTTCTCTAAGCTACTATTACCCCCACCCCTGTGTAATGAAGATGACCAAAGGCAGAAATGTTTGAAGTTCAGCCTGGGTGGCAACCATGGTGCCCTCCATAGATCCAGTGAAGGAGTGATAGTAGTCACCCAGGGGCAGGAAGTATGTTATTTGCAGGATTACCAAGTGAATATAAAGGGGGGGGGGAGGAGCCTTCAAACAAAACCCAATGCAGCCACCATGTCACTTGAAGGAGACTGAGCTTAACAGGGGGCTACCTTTGCACCACTTGTCTGGCTCCCCTGGAGGTGATGACAGGAGGCGTAAGGACCCAGGGATGCTTGAGTGCCAATGCAGGGGCTAGCACAGATTTTGTACCAGAATTTGAGTGTGGTGACCTGGAGCTTGTGATGACAGGAACTGGGCCGCAGGCTTTGCAGCAATGGGAAGTTAAGGTGCTAGAGCTGCCTCGCAGAGTAACAGCGCAGAGTCCAAGTTAGAAAGCCCAACAGGAGCCACAGGAGGATCAGGATCGTCGTTGAGGTCACAAGCCGAGTTCAAAGGATCGGATACAGAGATGTGGTGCCAAATCGGTAGGAGCATCGACGTCGGGGTCACAAGCACAGGGAAATCAGGTGCCAAGACAAGGTGCCAAGTCAGTAATCAGGAGCAAGGTCGGGAACATAAGCCAGAGTCAAACGCAGGATGGGGCAACAGGAACACAGGACAGAGCTGGAGACCAGTCAGCAATGGGCTCAGTACTCACACTGATCTTATAGTCCAACTGGCGACAATGAGCAGCCGTGCGTGCACACCACCCTAACGTCCGTGCTCAGGAATTCTGATGTTAATACGTTTGCACGTAGAGTATTTCCCTGTGCACAAATTCCAGTACGCACGCCTACCATTCAGAGCATGTTTGCCCATCATCTTGAGGACAGGGCCATGTGGAACGGCACGTGCATGAACTCCTAATGGCCTTTTAGTAGGTACCTTACACACCACTTCCAAGGACCGGTGGGCTGCAATAGACAACATTTATATATATTGGTTTAGCATTGTGTTACAAATTCAAAGACTGGTTGGTAATAATTGTACTATGACATTGAACTGCTTTTCCTTTTTTTTTTTTGTTTCTCATTTAAACAGGCCCACTTTTCCCAACATGTTGTTGTTGCTGCCGTGGTGGTTCACTTGGTAACTGATGGGACATCTTATAGTTATCCGAAGCCAGAGACCATCAGCGTTCAGCTTATTGATGTCAAGGAACAGATGCACGACCTTGGTAAAGTCTTCTCTGTTACTGAGTATCTAATCAGTCCTTTGATAAGAACACATTATAACCGAGCTTGGCCCGAAGGCATCTGCAGAGGAGATGGTTTTATCTTCTGTCTTTTGTTTAGAATTTTACTTCTCACCATCGGTGTGGACTTCAGCCATTTCCACTTCCCCTATGATGAAATAACGAGACGTTTCATTGTTGTGAGCACTCCTCTCTTCAGGGGAGTGCGGAATACGTACATTCTAGCAGTTGTATTTACACACCACTGAAACAGTTCACCAGTACGGTATTAATTCTCCCCCGCCACCTGCAATATCAGTACCAGTTAACCCCTTCACACCGGCAATCCGTGTAATAATGTTGCCCGGCATGGTACCCCATGCAAACAAATGTTCTCCCATTTCACTTCAATGCGGCTGCTGGCTGTCAATAAAAACTGGGGTCCCACTAACTATCAGGAACCAGTCAGAGTGGATCCCCATCATGCCATAAGCGTTTCAGCTCTGACATAATGACAGCATGCGGACTGGAGGCTCCATTGACAGCCTTCAACCTGCAGATGAACATTGCAACCTATTGAGATTAGGCATGTACGATTCATTTCATTCCGAATCAAAATTCGTACACATTTTACGAAATTCGGACACATCCGAACCCCAATGCATCCGAATGTGCCCAAATCCGAATTTCCGGTCCCATCATGTGACTTTTCTGGACTATCAAATATGTTTTTTCGGTTTAATGCATCCAAATGGGTCTGAACATGAATTTTCGTTACGGCAACATGGGAGCCATCTACAGTATATACATTTATTACTAAAGCTGAGGCTCCCAGACCCAAATGGTATTCAGATTCGAATTTCTGAATTGCATTCCAAAGCTCCCGAATGCCATTCGGGTCTGGGAACCTCAGCTTTAGTAATAGACCCGATGATCTGTAGTCTGCCCCTTGCCCTAGGTGTACATAGATTCCTTTACAAATGTATCAGTAACACTCCAGTAAATAATGTTTTCCTATTTTGTTTGCCTCTTACTTTATGTTGTCCTCGGATTTAATGCCGATACCATCTAACGTCTTCTTCTCGTTCCTTCTTCTGTTGTAGGGGTTCATATTCTCAGCTGCAGAAACAACCCGTTGGTGATCCCTGTGATGCATGACCTCAGTCGTCCTTTCTACCACAGCAAAGCCGTCTTCATAAGCTTTACTTCTAACTTGGTGGCCATCTCCGGAGTGGCTCTCAGATCTTTTCATGACTTTGACCCAATCAGAATTAACAGTTGCCAAAGGGGAGAGATTTATAGCGTGGCCGAGCAGAGGTGAGTAAGATACTCAACATTCACGCCTTCGGGTCAAACCAAGGGCAGTTTTCGGTCACGTGCAACCGGAAAAAATCAGCCAGTTTTGTTTTTACTTCTACATATTACCTCTTCTAGGAACATTGCAGACTTTGTTTTATTCACCGGGAGTTCAGACTGGGTTCTATGTAGATTTATGTAACCAAAAACAGACACAAGGGGAAACCTTTGTTATCGCTACATCAGTTTTGATACCTCCTCTGAAATGATCAAATCAACCAGGTTTCCGAATCTTTACCCCAAAAAATGAACATTTCGCATGTATTTATTTCTAAATCTTATTAAAGGAGAACTATGAGGGGAGTGCTTTTCACTCACCTCATAGTTCTAGCCGACCTGTGACAATGAGACTGTCACAGGTCGGCTCAGTAGATCGGGAGGTGAGCGAACACATGCCGGTGTTCGCTCACCTCCCGATCCTGTCACGGCTCTCTGCCATGACATGGAAGGGGATGGATTCCCCCCTCCCCGCTCCGATCCTCCAACGGACAGGGGAGGTCGCGGGTACAGCTGGCTCTGCCTCTAGATAGGCAGAGCCAGCTGTCACTCACGCAGCTGGGCGGATCTCGACATCGATGTCGGGATCCGCTCCGGCTGCGGCGTCTCAGTATACCGCTAGCTGTAATTTGCGGTATACTGAGCTTAGGGTGACGGGAGGACGCTAGTTTGTGTCCTCCCGTTACCCTAAGGAGAACTATGGGGAAAAGCCCTGACCCCATAGTTCTCCTTTAAAGCTGAACACCATACAAACAGCTGAAATGAATAAGTAAATAAACCTGCCAAGGGATTTATATTTCTGTCCTTCCGGTCCTGAAATATACACACGTGTGCCACCATGTGCAGCAAGGTTGATCACACCACTTACAGGTAGCAAGCCAGAAAATCAAACATTTTAAACAGGTGCGTAACTAGACATCACAGGTCCCCATAGCAAAATTTTGCCCCAAACTGCCTCCCCTACGAAATAAAAAGTACCTACCTCCAGAACACATTCCCGTGCCTGCGCCGCGTTTGTCTCCCTCTCTTCAGCTCTGCTCCTGCTGGCTCTGACGCCAGAGCCAAAGAAGAGATCACTCCACCGCTCACTGCTGCAGAGACCACAATATACCCTTCACAGCTCACCATAGACCCCACAAAGTCCACCATGGTACAAGTTTCAATAAACTACCATAGCGGAGTCTCATGTGTGGCCAGCTTCTCTTCTGTTAGCTGGAGGGTTGGGGGTTTGCCTCCCTCCGACTTAGAGGGTCACGAATGCTCAGTATGCTATCCAAACCATTCATAACCAGATGAATACTATGGTCCAGCCCCCCCATGGCTGGTAAAAATCCTTTTTTTTTCACATCTAGTCTGGGCATAGGGAGCGCTTGATAGTGTAGCAGTTAATGTAAAATGTACGAAAACAACTCCTCGAATGTGCAAATCGCACATAAAGGTCTCAGGACTGTATTAAGATCACTGGAGCGGAGGTGTGATCAATATAACTACGAGGTCTTGATGTGCGGTTTGCACCTTCCAGTGTGAGTTCATTTATGGTTTTAACCCTTTTGCTGCCAAGGACGTACGGCATACGGAGGTACAAAAGTGCTTCTGGCTGGCCAGCTCAGTATGCCGTACGGACCTGGCATTTACAGTTCTACTATAAGCTCATGGTCGCTTTATGACGCATTGCCATGCGTTGTGATCTTTGTGTTGCAATAAATATACGCCTGTATCATTTTATCACAACACAAACACCAACACAGTGTAAAAACAATTTTTTAACACAAGTCGATTATTTACAATTTTGCGTACCGTAATTTTTTTACCTTTTCGCAAAAAGGCGCAATTACAAATGTGCTAATATTTGTTATTTATTAACTCAATACAGTTTTATCTTTTAGATTTAGTCAGAAAATTATTATTTTTTGTGCGCTGATACTGATTTTGGTGTGTTTTTACAATTGAATTGTGTATTTTTATCGGTTTAATATTAATTTGAGAAACATTTGCGCAATTATCGCAGGGCCTACAAATTTAGTATCACCATCTTTTTATTCTACCGGGCCTGCGCTTTCAGAAAATATATGGTTTGGGGG